ACGTTGAGTTCACAACTATTAAATTAAAAAATAATCTCCAATGCACAAAGTTGTCAAATTACAATAATATCTACTTGTCAAATAATAAAATTTTAATATGAATTAATAAAATAAATTAAATAATTAAATAGTTTGAAAATGGTAATAATAATTCTCTCTCTTCTTCTCATTGGCTAATTAGAGTGTGGAGTAGAATGTGGATGAACCACATTCTTCTCTACATTGTGGACATTAATTATGTCCACATCATCACAATATTTGTTATAACATTGTACATTGGAGGATGAAAAATTGTGATATTAATAAATGTGTTGATGTGGAAGTTAATTTTCATCTACAACATTGAGCATTGGAGATGCTCTAATATTTTAATTAAATATAAATCTAATTTAACTTAATTAAATATTTTCCATCAAATAGAAAATTATCTCATTACTAATTAAGTATAAATCTAATATAACTTAATTAAATATTTTCTATCAAATAGAAAATAATCTCATTACTCATAAATAAATATTTCAATCTAATTGAATATTTAACACTCTCGATTCACTCTTAGTCGAAAACCTGATTGCATATTGTGTGACCCTATAGGCCTTCATATATTGACATAAATCTAATTTATGATCCTTACGAAACTCCTAGACTGCGTCGAAGGACGAACTCAAAATTATGAAGTACATTTACATGGACAAGCAAACAAACATTTAGTGTAGAACTCAATGATATACGGTCCCTTCATTCACGAACTACTCGATTAAGCTTAGGATTTGAACGTGTGTCTATCCAAACAGCTTAATCATTTTATCTCATCTTACTGGTTGATTTTATCAATTATATTTGAACACCATTTCAAATATAATCGCGTGCATTGGCCAATGACTTTATCAACCCAGTATAGAGAAAACGAGTGTTCTCTCGAAACTATATTCGAGGAGTGAATCCTTTCTTGACTCAACTACCAATTCCATGTATATCATGATCTACCCAACACAAGCCCGTGTCTACCCATAAGGGCGTAAGCGTTGGACTAGGTCTACGCAAATCACTCTATACATGAATTACGTATTGACCTCGAGTCAAAGGACTATTACACCATTCCACACACCGATACTTCCATAGACACATAAACAAATGGTTTACCGGTAGGGTATGCCAATACTCTCCAAAGTATCCATGTGTCCATCACGAATAACAATTATTCATAGCAGTGAGACATACTATATTCTCTAAGAATATGATGCAGACCACATGTCAATCTATCGCGTATCATTAATATCACTTTCTTAATGATCATCGATTGAGGAGATTTTAGAGTTATACTTTATCAATTAACATCTCACTCTGCTAATGACAGTATCAACTTAAGGGAACAATTAATTAATAAATTGGAAATAAATAAATAATTATTTAATTAATTGTAATACCATAATTATAATCCAATATAATTATTAATGTGATAATGTATATATGTCCTTAAAAGATTGTCTCTAGGACACCAACAATAGTTTGTATGGTTTGTGAATATTAAAAAGACGGATTAAGGAAATTGGAAAAAACAAAACAAAATCAAAATAAAATTGAGGCACATAATTTGGTTAAGATAATTATGAAAATAGATTTTATGTTCTAACCATGTTATTAAAATTTTTGTTCGCAAATATTGACTTTTCATCTTAAAATATTTATAAAAAATCACAATGAGGCGAGTTCAAGCTCTTGAATTAATATTTGCCAATATAATTTTTTCATAAGCTTTATTTTATTTTATAAATAATAAATTATTTCTTAAATTAATATAATTTACCATTTAAGAGATAATGTCGAGATACATTATATAGTTTTACTAATGGCCATATAATAAAATTAAAATACATTAAATATTACTTAGGATTTCAACAATTGATTTATTTGCATATTGTTTTCAACCATGATTAAATTTTTTTTATCATTTTTTAATTTTGATTTCTTTCCATAATGAAATTATTTTAAAATATATTCCTCTGCATAGTATGTTAAATAAACCATAAAGCCTTGTGACATTGCAAGCAAAAAAAAAAAAA